TGTTCCAGGCCTCGTTTGGGTGCAGAGGACCTGGATATGAATATACCAGCTGCTCTCACGACACCCCTCCATCTGCCATCTGAGACTTCTGAGCAGCTGAAAGAGGTACAAGACAGGACAGTGACCACCCATCCCACGCACGGAGACATGTGCTACCAAGCGTGTCTCACTGAGCACCATGGGGTCCACAAGAGGCACAAAGCTGTCTGGGATAAGAGCAACAAGCAGATCAAAGAAATCATGTCTTAATCCAAGTCCTAGAGGATGAGATCCAGGGGAGGCTAGAAGCAAAAATAAGGTGGAAAGCAATACCACGTGCCAACCTCTGGCCTTTGTGCGTATTTGCGCACACACCTGAATGTGTGTACACACACACACACACACACACACACACACACACACACACACAGTGTAAGCATTCTCTGTTTTTTCTTTTGGTTTTTCGAGACAGGGTTTCTCTGTGTAGCTTTGGAGCCTGTCCTGGCACTCGCTCTGGAGACCAGGCTGGCCTCGAACTCACAGAGATGCACCTGCCTCTGCCTCCCGGGTGCTGGGATTAAAAGCGTGCGCCACCAATGCCTGGCCATAAGTATTCTTTTTGTTTTTTGTTTTTCTTACCACAAAAACACTTACTGGAGGTAGCTTGGTTACAGTTTCAGAGGCTCAGTCCATTCATTCAGGCAGATATTATGCTAACTACATCTTGATCAGAAAGAAGGCAACAGGAAGTCAACTGAGACACTGGGCAGTATCCTGAACATAGGAACCCTCAAAGCCCACCTCCACAGTGATACACTTCCTCCAACAAGGTCGTACCCACTCCAACAAAGCCACACCTCCCACTCATATCACTCCCAATGAGATCCTGGGGGCCAATTACATTCAAACTAAGTGTAGGTATTCTTAGGAGGCTTGGAGAGTTGGAGAGTTCAGTGGTTAAGAACACTGGCTGCTCTTCAGGAAGACCTGTGATCCATTCTCTGAGCCACCACGGCAGCTCGCAACTGTCTATAACCCAGTACTAGGGATCTGTTAAAAATCAGCTAAGGGATTAACTGAGCACCCTTGGCTCCACCAAAAGTCATTGTAACATATGAGGTGTGTCTTGTGTGAGTTATACAGCAAATGTTTAAAGCCTATGAATCTCATAGGCTGAAATGGCTCAGTGGGTAAAGGCACTTGCTGACAACCCAGAAGACCTGAGTTCAATCCCCAAGGTACACGTGGTAGAAAGAGAATTGACTCCCACAAGTTCGTCTTCTGACCTCTAAATGAGCTCTATGGGACTTGCACGTACCCACTGGTAATTAATAAATGAAAAAAAAGATAATATACTTGTTAGGGGCTGGAGAGATGACTTAGCCGTTAAGAATACTTGTTACTCTTGCAGAGGACCCAAGTTCAGTTGCCAGCATCCACACAGCAGCTCACAACTGTCTGTAACTCCAGTTCCAAGGTATCTGACGTCCTCCTCTGACCCCAATGGGCACAGCACACACATGGTGCACAGACATATATGCAGACCAACACTCATACTCTTAAAGATTAAAACAAATTCATCTTTTACCCTGGTCCTGACAATATCTCTCCAAGGATATGAATGCTACATATGCACAAGCAAATAAATCCTTTCCTGCCTTTATTCCTTTCTTGGATATATATGTATGTAATAATTATATATTACATATATACATAATCTTTGAAAAACATGGGCAAGTGTTCACGCCTTTAATCACTACACTCAGGAAACAGAGACAGGTGAATCTCTTGAGTTCGAGGCCAGCCTGGACCACAGAGAAAGTTGCAGGACAGCCAGGGCTACACAGAGAAACCCTGTCTTGAAAAGACGAAAGCAAACAAACAAATATATGGGGAAGTGTTGCGTGTAGTTCAGTGGTCGAGTGACTGCCTCGTACCCAGGAAACCCTGAGTTCCATCCCCAACACTGCATATAGCCAGGTGTA